GATACCATTTTGTACGGGGAATCCTTGAACATGAAAAATAAAATTATTGCGTTCTTTGTTGGTAGTTAAAACAGTACCTATAATATAGTTTATATATTAAATATATCATATAACGAAATCTGAAAGTATTTAAGTGATTTTGATATATACGTATTTCAGCATTTTAGTAAGAGTAAAATTTTACCCGAAATTTACCCTATTTTCATCGAAAGCAAAATTATTACGTGTATCATCACAACATTTTTTACTCTGATCTAAGCAATAAGGCACAGTGCGTGTGTGTGCCAAATTGCATGCGTGAAATAAAAATCGTTTTGAAGAAATTAGCAATTAAAAACACAAATTAAGTCAACATTTTGGTATTGATTAAACACGGATTATCTCGTGTCATTAATCATTTTGTTGCTTACACTATTAGGTCATTAACAAGGACAGGGATCACTCAAAACATTTGTCTTTTTTGCTTGTTGTGTGGTTGATTTATTTGTTGTGAATAGCCAGCTAACTTTGTAGAGTGTCACTTTGTTCGGCGAAATCTGTTTTGTGTCTGTTTTTCAAAACTTTAAACTTTTTATTGAATAAATATTTTGTTATAATTGTAGTATAAGAATCAAATCGGTCGGTTTTGTTTCACACCCGGAATATGGCACATCAAAAGTCTTGTATGATGTTTTTGACTTAAATCCCTCTCGGTGGGAACAAAAATATACCACCGTTAGTGCAACAACAAAAAAAAAACAGGTACAACAGACAGCAACCAACGACAACCATTGAATTGCAGGCTCCTTATTTTGGACAGACACATACAGAATTTGGAGGGGTTAAACATGTTTGTGATCCTTCAACCCTCCCCTGACCTGGACAATGGTATAACAACACAGCAAAAGAAAAATCTGCTGAAAAACAGTTTGAAATGGCTTGACTTATCAAATCGGCATGAAACACAAAAACAACTAACATGAAGACAAAAAACACAAAGTACCGATATAATAGTACTCGCCGTTAGGGTAGAACATTTTATATTCTGAAGAAAGGGATGGGGCTGGCGGCGCGAAAATTTATTTTCACTTTTGTACACATTCATATCCTCAACTATCCTGCATTTCATGTTGAAATGTGTTCATTCTCATCCTGTCTTGTGCAAAGTCAATTATTTCAGTTTATACCAGGCCAAGTAATTCATTTTCAAAATCCTCATTCCCTCCCTGTTTTCGAAATCAAATGGGTGTTCCCTTACTGAAAACTAATGAGAGGACGTCATCAATAGTCTGAGAAAAGTATGATCATAAACATCATCGTAAAAACTAGCTTATGTTATAAATCATGTACACCTTGTTACCATTCCATACACCAAATATATTTAACCCACTACTATCTGAGACTGTACGGACTTGACCACTGAAACTTAACCTTGTTCACTGATCCATGAAATTAGGTCGAGGTCAGGTGAATCATGTCTGACGGTTATGTAGACCTTGCAAGGATACCATATATTAGTAACCAAATATAGTTATCCTAGAACTCATGATAATTGAGACCTTCACATGACGAAAAAAACTATACAGGTTTTTAGCAGTCACTTAACCATGAATATGAGGTCAAGGATAATGATTATATGACGGAAACTTCGTAACACAATGGATCTATATACAAAGTATGAATCATTCAGTTCCTCTGCCCTCTGCAATATAAAGCTATACAAATAGTTTACGGTGTTGCCGCCACCATTATCAGATTGTATTCTGTATTCCTCGCATTCTGCTACTTGCGTCGAATGCGGTTTAAAAAAAGAACATCTGAAATTAGCTCTCTAACCTAAACCTAGTCGGTGGGCTTTCAACTTAACAGTAGACCATGACACGTAATAGCTACTACTAGCTTCGGCAATTTTTCTATATTGTTTCGCTCTTATTAAAATCCTGATCTTTATTAACTCGCGTGCTCTTATATATAAGCTCAAATGAGGATAACGAAATCAGAGATCTATATTTTAATTAGATTGATGTTGTTTACAAGTGTTTGTAAAGTACATCGATGCTGTACACAACTTTCTTTTTGTAGATAATCTTTAACTTCATGTCAATTGTAGGCCAATTTATGTTCGATAAGTCATGTACATTACACTTGATATAAGTGTGTACGATGGAGTGATGAGCCTGATGTTCTCATTTTGTTTTCATAACTTGTAACAGAAACCCTCCCCCTTTTTCACTGTTTGCAGTTTGTTTTTTTTTTTTATTTCTGTAAAGCAAATATATACTCAGACCTGCTAATTCAGTCAATTCTGCGTTAATATTCATCAGTTTTGGAACTAAGTACTATTTGATGTGCTTCCACGTTCACCAAAAGAAAATTGGATATTTACCTAGAAAATCATGACGAACACCTTCTATCAAAAGACGGAAAAATGACATTTTGGGAGGGCAACTTATAAATGTTAATATCTAAAAAACATCTCTAAAGATCTCTTATATCGAATCTTATGTAAAAATTCCGATTTTGGAACTTTTAAAAGGTCAAGGTCACTGTTATTTAACAGCTGAATGAAAATTGTAAATGTGCACCCTATAAGTACAAATGTCAATCTCGATCCATATTTGGCAATAAAATTATCAAATTAGTCCTAAATATAGAAACTATAGTTATAATCCTTTGAATTATTCGAATTTATTTTGTTATAAACGCAAATATGTAGGGGTGGCCAGCTGTCTTAACGTGACTCTACGTTTCCCTTGAAATTTTAGATTTGACCTTTGACCCAAATTTAAGAAAATCGTTACCACTGTAGACAACGACGACATCAATATTTTGACGAGGCTTGTTCTCCTCTTTCCGATGATATAAAATATAGCCGTGTGTTATTCCGTTAACCCAAATCGATCAAATTTGTTGACTGGGCACCCTACTACAACACTTGGTCAGCACCTCATAAGGAACATTAATGCCATGTTTGGTTTCATTCCATTCAGTGGTTCTCTAGAAGAAGTTCAAAATGTAAAAAGTTAACGCCGACGACGGACGACGCCGGACGCCAAGTGATGAGAAAAGCTCACTTGGCCCTTTGGGCCAGGTGAGCTAATAAATTACTAGCCCGAAATTGATGTTTACTAGACCTGAAAAATTTAGTGTCACCAGTGATTCGTGATCCTCACCTTCTAGGAGGGTTTGGGGCATGCCCCCCAAGAAAATTTTGGAAAATTAGATGTAAAATCCTGCATTCTGAGGTTACATTTTTGTATCTGTAAGTGAATATAACTTATCAAAAATTGCTGTTTTTTTCTCCAGGTCAAATGTAAAATTCTCATTTTCTAAAATAAAAAATTAGAATAGTTCTTTTGCAAAAAAAAAAAATCTTTTTTCCATAAACTCGTACCATTTCAAGTAAAAAGACATTTTAAGCACTAGTAAATTATTACTCAACTTAGGGATTGTTACTTTTTTGGGGAAAAATTCCCTCATTGTCATTGATGGATGATCCCAACCAGTTTAAAATTATTCCTAATATTCTTTCATATTTTTGTTAGTCTTAACAAGGATTCTTAAATGTCAAAGTTTAGTTAATTCTCTGGCACTTCTTTTTGATCTGGAAGGGGCCTTCATTTCTGTATTCTTTATTTTTTATGCTATTTTTCTCAATTCTTTATGTTTTGTAAATTTTTTTCTAAACAAATATTCTTTATGTTTTTTTGCCCATTATTCTCTATTCTATAAACCCCTATCAACATGATCAACACCCTCTTTATTGTCACTTTCGCCGTTAATTTTGACTTTTGTTTAAAATAATAAAATGCCTAGATCGTTTTCTGCATAGGTTTTTTAAACTCGAAACTCGAAACTTCTCCGGTTATTCATGAAGGCATTTTCAACTTTTCAATGTTTTACCTGGGATAGCCCCCTGTTTCCATTTCAGAATCGAATGAGATCGAATCCTTGATTGTTTGTTTACATTGAGTGGTATTTATAGATTGTGTTTATTGCAAGCACATGGTCGAGCCTCGTTCTCGATTTCGTTGGTGATTGGGTATATCGCATTGACGACTGGTTCCCTTTGATAAGAAGGGGGAACAACCGTATATAATTAAATAGGGATACCAGTTAACGGAAGAAAACAAGGTCTGCGACAAATTTGTAACTTGTTTTTCATAGATTCAATAAAATACCGGCTACAATTTCGCAAACTATTTCAGATGTTCACAAGACCAGTCGGGCAAACACCAGTGCTTCTGCACAAGTCCGATGAGATTTTTACTAGACAGGGGCTTCGGGCTCGCTTAACGTCGCAGACTGTTGAACACAAGTCATTGTCTGGAAACTAGAAAAATGCTTGTTTTTTGGCCCCTTTTTGGCCCCAAATTCCTAAACATATAGGGCAATTACCCCCAAACTCAAACCCAGCTTTCCCTTTGTGATATGGAATATTGTAGTACAATTTCATAAAGATTCATACACTTACACAGAAGTTATTGTCCTGAAACTAGAAAAATGCTTGTTTTTTTGCCCCTTATTCCTTAAATTTAGAGGAAATTACCCCCAAAATCAATCCCAGCCTTCTCTTTGTGGTATTGTACCTTGCAGTACAATTTCAGAGAGATCCATACACTTGAACACAAGTTATTGTCTGGAAACTAGAAAAATGCTTATTTTTGGCCCCTTTTTCCAAAACGTTATTGGCAATTACCCCCAAACTCAATTCCAGCTTTCCCTTTGTGATATGGAACATTGTAGTACAATTTCATAAAGATCCATACACTTGCACAGAAGTTATTGTCCTGAAACTAGAAAAATGCTTTTTTTTTGCCCCTTTTTTGCCCCTTATTCCTTAAATTTAGAGGAAATTACCCCCAAAATCAATCCCAGCCTTCTCTTTGTGGTATGGTACCTTGCAGTACAATTTCAGAGAGATCCATATACTTGAACACAAGTTATTGTCTGGAAACTAGAAAATTGCTTATTTTTTGCCCCTTTTTGGCCCCTTATTCCAAAACGTTATTGGCAATTACCTCCAAACTCAATTCCAGCTTTCCCTTTGTGATATGGAACATTGTAGTACAATTTCATAATGATCCATACACTAACACACAAGTTATTGTCATGAAACTAGAAAAATGCTTGTTTTTTGCCCCTTTTTTTGCCCCTAATTCCTAAAATTTTGAGGCAATTACCCCCAAAATCAATCCCAGCATTCCCTTTGTGATATGGAACCTTGTGGTAAAATGTCAGAGAGATCCATACACTAACACACAAGTTATGTCTGGAAGTTACAAAAATGCTAATTTTTGGACCCTTTTTGGCCCCTAATTCCTTAACTGTTGGTACCATAACCCCCAAAATCAATCCCAACCTTCCTTTTGTGGTATTGAACTTTATGGTAAAATTTCATAGAAATCAATTCACTTAAACTAAAGTTAGAGTGCGAAAACTAATGTATCTTCGGACGACAACGACGACGACGCCAACGTCATACCAATATACGACCACAAAAATTTGTTTGTGGTTGTATAAAAATTCTTTAACACAAAATTAAGATCCATCACGCATATGGTAAAAATAACTCCTTTTGCATATAAATTTACTGTGAAAAAAAATTTTAATTTAGATATCAGCAAAAAAATGAATTTGTTTCATTTTATATATGATAATTTCATTCAATCATTGTCTTTTCAGAATTTTTTTCTTTAAATCTGAAACAGTACTACATGTATTTATTTAGTTGGTAATTCCTTACAAGTGGAAAAATATAATGTTTTAAGACATAGTCTGAGACAAGTTTTATGGTATTCTCAGGCATGATATAAAATTGGATTTGTACACATGGTACAACCCAAAAAGAATTGAATTAATGGGTCTCACTAATTAGCAACAACAAGCGACATGAAGAATAATTTAGCGACAAGAAGACTTATTTAGCATGTTTAGCGACAAGAAAACAAATTTAGCATAAAATAAAATGCTCCGCTGGGGCGCAGCTTGATACGACCGCAGAGGTCGAACCCTGAACAGTTGGGGCAAGTATGGACACAACATTCAAGCTTGATACAGCACTGAATTTGGATTGTAATTAAATATTTGACACAGCATAGGTTTCTCACACAGAATGAAAGTAGTCTAAGAACTTAAAATTTTTTAATTTACCTATTCAAACCATATCATTATTATTTGCTTTTATATATAAATCAGAAATAACCAATTTAAAATGGAAAATTTTAAAGAAAAAAAAGGAAAAAAAAATCCCCCCCCCAAATTTTTTGAAACCCCCTTATGATTCATCACCCCCAAACTCAATCCCAGCCTTCCCTTTGTGGTATGGTACCTTGCAGTACAATTTCAGAGAGATCCATACACTTGAACACAAATTATTGTCTGGAAACTAGAAAAATGCTTGGGTTTTTTGCACCTTTTTGGCCCCAAATTCCTAAAAGTTTAGGGCAATTACCCCCAAACTCAAACCAAGCTTTCCCTTTGTGATATGGAACCTTGCAGTACAATGTCATAAAGATCCATACACTTACACACAAGTTATTGTCATGAAACTAGAAAAATGCTTGTTTTTTTGCCCCTTTATGGCCCCTAATTCCTAACATTTTGAGACAATTACCCCCAAAAACAATCCCAGCCTTCCCTTTGTGGTATGGTACCTTGCAGTACAATTTCAGAGAGATCCATACACTTGAACACAAGTTATTGTCTGGAAACTAGAAAAATGCTTATTTTTGGCCCCTTATTCCTAAACGTTTTGGGCAAGTACCCCCAAACTCAATTCCAGCTTTCCCTTTGTGATATGGAACCTTGTAGTACAATTTCATAAATATCCATACACTTACACACAAGTTATTGTTATGAAACTAGAAAAATGCTTGTTTTTTGTCCCCTAATTCCTAAAATTTGGAGGCAATTACCCCCAAAATCAATCCCAGCATTCAAACCCTCAATCAGCATCATTTAACAGTAATATCTAAAAATGGAAATTACATAATAAAGGTATTAAAATAGAAAATGACATCATAGTCATGGCTAAAAATAAACAAAATCCTTAATCAGCAACATTTTACAGTAATATCTAAAAATAAAATTCCTTTGTAACCATAAAAGCCCATTTAAATACATCATGACAGATATTAAAATAGAAAATGACATCATAGTCATGGCTAAACATAGCAAAAACCTTAATCAGCATCATTTAACAGTAATATCTAAAAATAAAAATTTCTTTGCAACCATAAAAGTAAAATAGAAAATGACATCATAATCATAGCTAAAAATAAACAAAAATTTTTTTTAATACCAAATTTTAAATGGAGTTTATTAAACTAAAACAATAAATTTGCAACCATAAAACCCCATTTAAACACATCATAAAAGTATTAAATAATTCAACTACATCATAAGGCTATAAAAATAGAAAATGACTTCATAGTCAAGGCTAAAGGTAAACAAAAAACCTTCATCAGCAAAATTTTATATTGGCAAATTTCCAATGAAGTTTATTATACTAAAATTGTTGGCAAATTTCCAATGCATTTATTAACAATAAAGTTTTTGGCAAATTTCCAATTTACATAATTTAAAAGCAGTGTAAGTGAGATATTTAAATGAGTTTGAATTACCAACCTTACACTGCTTTTAAATAATGTTTTGTACTTATTTGTCTATTAACCTGGAAACCCTTGTTTTTTCACCTTTTTTCCCCTTATTTATTAGGTCCGGGTACACAGTTATCGTCCTTTGATTTTCGTTGTCCACGAATATAGTCCCTAGTGTGGACAGTGTGTTACTTGTCGATTTTTTTTATACCCCTTCCAAATTTATTTCTCCATGTTTTATGACTCAAATAGTAAGTAGGGGGGTGAAATGACACTGTAAAAAAATTTGGGTCATGAATTTTTAAGTAAAGTAGTGATTTGGTCCAGCTGAAAAATGTTAAAAATTAGCAGTTCGGAAGCTGTCAAAAGATTTGAAGACCCCCTTAACATGAAATTGTCCATATTTTGAGTTAGAGCCGATGAAGTTTTCTATAATTTTGATATAATTTGTCCCAAAAGTAGTACAACACACTGTAAAAATATTATTGAGAAAGCGCAGGTGGGATTTTTTTAATTTTCATTTATTGTCTAAAAGAAATGCACTACGAAATAACTGTGTACTCGGACCTAAGAGGTGAAATCAGGAAATATAGAATCTGTACTTTGGCAACTTCCCTGAATGATTTGATGGTGTCAATTTATCAAATAGCATAAAACTAAAGGATTTAAACTTTTATTTGATAGAATTTCTGCAAAAATAACCAATTTTGGCATTTTATGGTCAAAATAAGCATTTCATAGCTTTTTCAATTTTGATGCATAGGTGGCATTCTGACTTTCTATCTGACAGGTTTTTATGTGTCAATATTTGTGTTTCTATGCTTCAATCCAGTTGTATTACTCATTTGTGAACTCTGAATCTACAGAAAAGAAGATTATCTCTGACAATATGTGCAAAATGTGTTGTATCTATGATCCTCGTCTAACGCCCTGTTTGGATCAAGTTAAATGTGAGGAGCTTGGAACATAAAAGTTGAAGTCTATTATAAAGACCTCACTAAATTTGTATAAAAAGCACTTAACAATGTCTTTTGTACCTGTTTTATGCCACATAATATCTTTCTTTTCTTCTGTAGGATAGCAAGTGGTTCAAATATAAGCCTGTTGAGACTAAAATTGCGTGCATGTTTTTCACTAAAAAGTGAAAAATCTTTGTATCAGACCATACTGTCTGCAAAAAAAGTTGAATGCAAGAGTCTTTTTGTGCTCAGATTTATTGTATCATGTCACCTGAGTATAGAAATGATAGAAAAGACACAAAATTTTATTTCCTATATCTTCAATATGCATTTGTAAATGTAAATATGTGATACGGCCTAAATTGACCCTAAATTATTTTCAGTCTTACTTGGCCTAAGACCCTTTTAAACTAATGTGATATGTTATTTGTAAGTTTTCTTTCCATTTAAAGTACATTAAATACATATGTAAGGATTATTTATAACCAAAAAGCTTTACAAATTTAAAATTGCTGGAAAATATTACATCTTCATGTAAGGCCCCCCTTCATTGGAAAACCTCCATTTTTAGCCACAGGCTCATATAAATTTGACTTTTTAATAATTATGATAAGTCTGATAAATCAAATGAGTACTCTATTGCTTTTAATACATATTTTATTATATATTAAGGCATTTCAAAAGTATTTTTTTGCAATATTTAAATTTTTAAGCCCCAAATGTTGATAGTTGAAAATTTTCAATTTTAACGTCTAAATTTAACACGCAAAGTTGAATATAGAATTAGTCATATTGTCTATAATATATATTCTATTGCCATGAAACTTTGTAAGCAGTCTTATAATTTAATAAGCTTTGGTCATACCAAGTTTCATTAAGATTGGTCAACTTTTTCTACCCTATTAGGTCCGGGTACACAGTTATCGTCCTTTGATTTTCGTTGTCCACGAATATAGTCCCTAGTGTGGACAGTGTGTTACTTGTCGATTTTTTTTATACCCCTTCCAAATTTATTTCTCCATGTTTTATGACTCAAATAGTAAGTAGGGGGGTGAAATGACACTGTAAAAAAATTTGGGTCATGAATTTTTAAGTAAAGTAGTGATTTGGTCCAGCTGAAAAATGTTAAAAATTAGCAGTTCGGAAGCTGTCAAAAGATTTGAAGACCCCCTTAACATGAAATTGTCCATATTTTGAGTTAGAGCCGATGAAGTTTTCTATAATTTTGATTTAATTTGTCCCAAAAGTAGTACAACACACTGTAAAAATATTATTGAGAAAGCGCAGGTGGGATTTTTTTAATTTTCATTTATTGTCTAAAAGAAATGCACTACGAAATAACTGTGTACTCGGACCATTTAAAGGTTTGAGCCATAACCCTACCCCAAAGCCAATTCTTAAATTCCAATGTAACCTAAATTTACAATATACATAACTTCAATTTAAAGTTTTTGATAAAATCAAACCACATCATTATTATTTGCTTTTATATCTAAATCAGAAATAATTAACCAACTTTAAGTGGAAAATTTTCACACATCACGCCCCCCCAAACTCAATCCCAGCCTTCAGTTTGTGGTATGGTACCTTGCAGTACAATTTCACAGAGATCCAATTACTTAAACACAATTAATTGTTGGAAACTAAAAAAAAATGCTTATTTTTAACCCCATTTTTAGCCCCTTATTCCTAAACATTTGAGCAATTATCCCCCAAACTCAATTCCAACTTTCTCTTTGTGATCAGAATTAACCAACTTAAAATGGAAAATTTTAAAGAAAAAAAAAAGGAAAAAAAATCCC